TGTGATACCTCCTGCTTCACTTTTCTCACTAAGGTTTGCTTTGGCTATTCTGGGCCTCTTATTTTTCCACATGAATTTCATGACTGCTTTTTCTGTTTCGATGATAAACGTCATTGGAATTTCGATGGGAATTGTACTGAATCTGTTTAGAGCTTTGGGTAGTATGGCCATTTTGACAATGTTAGTTTTGCCTATCCAAGGGCATGCGAGGTCTTTCCATCTTCTAAGGTCTTCCTCAATTTCTTTCTTTACTGTTCTGTCGTTTTCACTGTACAATCCTTCACCGCTTTTGTTAAAGTGAATCCACGTATTTTTTTTTTGAGGCTATTATGAATGGGATGGTTTTCTTAATCTATCTTTCAGCTGATTCATCATTGGAGTATAGGCAACTGATTTATGGGGGTTAATTTTGTATTCTGCTACTTTGCTAAATCATTTATGAGTTCCAGAAGTCTTCTGGTGGAGTTTTTTGTGTCTTCTAAATATAGAATCATGTCATCAGCAAACAGAGATAGTCTTAGCTCTTTTTACCTATTTATATCCCTTTCATTTCTTTCTTTCGCCTAATTTCTCTGTCTAGAATTTCAAGAACTATGTTGAATAGAAGTGATGGAAGTGAACATCCCTGTCTCGTTCCTGTTCTTAGAGGGAATACTTTCATTTTTTTTCCATTTAAAATGATGTTGGCCTTGGGTTTGTTTTATATAGTTTTTACAGTGTTGAGATATGTTTCTTTTATCCCTATTTTTTTTTCTAGTGTGAAATTAAACATTCAAAGTGAATGTATCTTACTCACAATTTACATCTGGGATATTTTAATTTATTGATTTTTTATTCCAGTAGACCGTCACCCATACATGTGGACACCTTCCCCACCCTCATTGGGATGGGCCACCAGGGGCAGGATCATCTCTCCTGGGTAAGGCCTACTCATGCCACTTGGGCTCTGGCACCCTGCTTTGTGCCACCACAGCTTCCTCTCCCCTGTCCCCCACCATGGACCCCTGCCTCCCTCTGTGCCTCCTAATAGTGTTAGGACTGCGTTGTTTACAAATGGGAAGGAGAAGGAGCCTCCACTTGTCTTGATTGAAAGTAGCCATCTGTTCACAACCCTTTGTATACCGAGTCCACTTGTATCTGACCTAGTCAATAAACAAACACTAATTATGACGGCCGACGTTCCCCCGATCTTTTGTCTCTGAGATTGTAATGACATTTTTTAATGAAATGTTTGCATAGCTAAATGCTTCCTTCCTTACAGCAACATTTATTTTGCAAATTTGCCGTTGTATTTAGCCTACCACCAGCAACTCTCTTGGCAAACACTGAGCAACTCCCACCACAAAAATTAATGAGTAGAGACAAGGACTCTACACCTACTCCTTCTGTTCCTCCCTTATCAAGTTGTAGGACTCTGGGGAAGTGATCCAGGGGACAGCCATGGAAACCAGAACTGGAGTTGTGGGACACCATGAGTTGTTCTCCCTGTGAATAATGTGCTCTTCTTGGCCAGATTCTGAGCTTGGAGAAAATGGACTGTGTCTCCAATTTTTTTTTTTTTTTGGTGCCCCTCAAGGTCTCAAATGCAATCCCATATATAAGATATAAGTATAAGGTGTCCCTTGTGCTTGTCAGCTGACAGGCCTGCGGTGGCTCCATCATGGTAGCAGAGGAAAAAGCACCTGGGTTACAAAGCCTACTGGGGGCCTTGGGGCTGTGTCCATCTTCACCCCTGTAGAACCTCTAACTCCTCTGAGAGACGCCTGCTGCCCCAGCCTCTGAGCCTGTGGTTCCCTCCTGCCTCCGAGGCGGCCTCGTCTCAGGAAGCTCTGTGCATTTGTCCATTTCCCCAACAGGGGACCTGGAGGGGGTGCTTTCCAAGTGCCAGGGACTGCTGAAGATTCACTGAGGGAACAGCAATGACTAAGACAGATCTCTAAAAAGTCCTGCCCCAGCGGAACTGAAAGGAAACAAGGACAATCTGTGTGTGTGTGTGTGTGTGTGTGTGTGTGAGAGAGAGAGAGAGAGAGAGAGAGAGAGAGAGAGTCCTTGTCTCTGCTTCACAGAAACGACCTCTGCTTCTCCCCCAAGCCTGCCCAGCACTGTCTGGTCTTGCAGAACACACCCAGAGCTAAAGCCGGCTGTCCCCTGGCAGTCTGCTGGGTGGGAGGGAGGCTGCAGATGCTCATCTCTCAGGACCCCTGCTCAGCTGGCCTCTGCTTGCCCACCCGGCCCTCCTCCTGCCGCCTCCTACCTGCAGCACATGCTGGGAGGTCCCACGCCTCCTGCTGTCCCCTGCTCTGAGAGGGCCTTTCCCTTTGCTCCTCAGACCCCCTACTCATCCTTTTAGACTCAGCCCCTTCTCCTCCTCCACCCCTGTCCACGGGGCCCAGAGCATGCAGCGTGTGGAGTTAAAGTTCACTCCTGACTTTTCTGTCTTTGTCTGGGAGACAGACGCGAGGGTCATTGTGTGTTTAATGTCTGTCTCCAGGGCTGGTAAACCCCTGTGAGTGTGGGCTGTGACTGGACTGCCTTATTAGCTGAGGGCCAGGCCAGGAGGGGTCCCAACCTGTTCGCCCTGGTCACAACTCAACGAGGCACCTCTATTGCTGGTCCTACTCTACAGATGAGGGATAAGCCTAGAGTGGCCAAAGATCTGTGCCTGAGTGTAGACCCAGGTTTAGAGCCAGACAGTCTGCTCGGAGCCTGCCCTGAGGCTCGTTGGATGGATGGATGGATGGATGGACAGACAGACAGACGTATGGATGAACTGTGCCTGGACACTAGTCAGGTTTCTGGATGTGACTTAGTAAGGCAGGAGAGTAGCTTGTTCATGAGGAGGAGCTTGGGAAGGCGGGACGGCTGGCTGGGGAAGAACACACAGATCTGTAGATACACAGACACAGACAGGTGCACACCAAGCAAGTGAGCATGACTTAGACCTGCGTTTGGACCTGGGCTCTACCTACCAGTCATGGGGCTTTGGGAAACTTCTTCAGCTCCCCTGAATCTCAGTTTCTTTTTCTATGTTGGTATTAATAGTGACTTTCTGGGGGACTGTGGGGAGGAACCAGCAGGTGGTATGTGGAAAGGCCCAACCTGGGTCCAACACATCATGGGGACCCATACATGGTGGCAGTTGTGTTTTTTATTACCTGGGCACTCTCTGCTTGGTGTGGTGAAGACTTGGGCAGGAGCCAAGTCTTACAGTCACCTCAAGCTTGACCCCTGCCTTGAGGGGTGACTGTAAGGCAGGGATTCTTGGCCTGTTACCCCTGCGGGCATGCGTCTTACAGGACAGGTTAATAGCTACAAGTTCAGGTCCAGAAATGAACCTGGAATTCACTTGCGATTATTCACTTACGATTTATGAAAACAATGAATAAATAAAGGAAAGACCACAACCCTAAACGTTTGTCTTCAGGGTGTGATTTATCGGCCAAACAACCCCCTGCCTCCATCTGCTGCCTTCTAGAGTCTTAACAGGACAAGGGACTAGTGTGGGAGCCTCATTTTAGTGGATTTGGGTGAATTCTATGTCCTCCTCAGGTCCTAGGTGAGCACAATTACCAGAGGCTCCGACACTGTCCCCTCATAGTTTGGTTCTCTCTCTGAGCATCAGGCTGAGGTGCTAAATTCTCTGCCGTGACCCTGGGAACCGCAGCATCTAGAACCTCAGATGGTGAGGGGCTGCTCAGCCAGGCCTGCAAGGCTCAGGCAGGCCGCCCTGGTCCAGCAGGCAAGCGTGGGCTTGACCTTAGTGCTGGCGTCTTCCCCTGGGGTGTGGAATCCAACCTCGCCTGACCCTTCTGAGCCCCCCCCCACTCCCCCCAGGCGGGACTAACTGTTCCCTCTCTGTGTCGCCTTTGTTCCTGCAGCTATAAAAGCACTCATGTCAGTTTTGAATACATCTCTTCCTCTGCCGGGGCAATCTTTTTGTTGTTCTGTTTGTTCCAGATTTTATGTAACCTCAAAGTCTTCATTAAAACGGACCCGGGGCGTACATGTCTTTCTATCTATGAGATTAGAATTGACAACATAAATTAGTGGTTTGGAATCCCAGTGGGTACTTCTTCTTAGATAGAAAGAGTTGTGGACAATCCGACTTATTCAGAACCCTAACTATGAAAACCACCCTTAAATCACATTCTCGCCCGTTCTGCAATCAGCCAGTCTTTCACAGACACTGGCTGACTCCTGCATTTGTGTCTCCGTGCAAGACATGGGGTCTATTTGAATGAACAGGACACGGGCCACGTCTTAGAGGCCAACCCAGTGTGATCTTGCGGCCTAGATTTTGCTAACACTTTGGGCCTACTCTCTATAAAGTATAAGAAGTCAACCTAGAAGATTCCTTTCTGAGCATAATTTCTCAGAGCTCTGAGACCCTCTGTATACTTAAAAAATAATTTTTTAAAAACTTTTAGCTGATTTTAAAAATTCATTCTATTTTCCACTCTACATTATTTGTTCACTTAACAAAAAATTTGATTAAATCACTGTTCCTAAAATAGGGTAGGGGAGCACAGGGAAGAAAACACAAAATTCCTGCCTTCAGGAACCTGACTCTAAGTCACAGGCGTCAGGAGCAGAGCGACAGTCAACCTGTTAGTTCATCTGTGGTTGCGGGTGGCATCCATTCACTCTCTCACTCCTTGGAAGTCTTTGGTGTGTGCTGTGTGCTTAGGATGGAGCTCTGGGGCCTCGGGAAGAGGTCTCAGGTGGGTTCCTGCCTTCCAGGTCCAGGGGAGAGAAAGGAATTCAGGGTCAAGTAGACTAGGAGGCCACTGAGACAGGGATTCTGAGTGCTTCTGAGGAAGGGAAAGGCCTTCAGAGAGGGAGGGAGGACATCCCAGGTCAGCCAGAGTCACCCCAAAACAGACCTGAGCAGGGGAAGAACATCACCCCAGATACCCAGGAGGAGGGAGCTGATGCTGCCGGGGCACCTCCTGGGGTGGAGGCTGTGCTTGCTAACCTGTTCCCCTCTTGCCTCCACCCAGAGTCCCCGTGGCCCAGTCACAGGAGGTTTGGCGTCCTTCATCCTCCTCCGGAGGCCCGACCTTCCCTCTGCCATAAGGAGCTTGATCCTACAGAGGAAAGCAAACATCAGAGACACATCCAACACGGCTGCGGGTAAGTGGCACCAGGTGCTTTTGAAAATTTCTGGATATTGGGGTTGTCACTATATAAATAGGCTGAATCAGAGCACGGAAGGACCAGCAGAAACTGATGACCTCTTCTGTCACTTTGCCGTCACCCACAGGTCCGGGTCAATTTCTAGCAAGAAATATAGAAAATAGACCAATAGATTAATTAATTAACTTCCAAGGATACATGACATGAAGAGAATGAACTGAAAAGGAGTAAATAAGGGTAAATGAGGAGGACACGTAAAACATCTTCAAAGAGGTGACACCTGGCACTTGTTACAGATCCAAGCTATGGGATGCGATGCAAAAGACCTGATTTTGGCTTTTAGAATATCATGATCGTTATGCACTGTATACATGTATCAAAATTTCACACTATTCCTCATAAAACTTGTGAAATTAAAATAATAATAAAATTCAAAGATATTTTTAAAATTTTCTGCAAATATCAACTGGGTAGGTTCTAGACCTCCCCCAGACTTAGAGCTTCTGCCTAGGAGCAGGATATAAGAGCAGAGGGCGATTAGCCCTGGTCACTTCCTAGCTTCCCAGAGGTGAGGAAGCCTTGGGAGGGGTCTCAGGTCACCCACTGCTGCTTCCTCAGCTCAGCCCCAGAAGGAGAACTGCCCATGGGCTCCGATGACCAAGGGGCTGTCCCTTCTGGGAAGAGTACCCCAGGTTACACTGCAGTCCAATCAGATTTGATACAGACCAAGTCTCCCCTCCCCACCTTTGACTGGCCTTATTCTCTGGGTAGCACCCATCTCCCTACCCTCTCCCAGGGGGACACCCATGGTCCTGAAGGACCCTGCAAGAGAGAACACATACCGAATTTGTTACTGACCTAAGTCCCAGAAAAATTTCACAATAAAAGCAGATTTTCCTGGTAATGGTGCAAATACCAAAGAGAAAACAGTAACACTACTTAAAGAACTCGCTAGAACAGGCAGTCTTCCTTTCGTTTATCAACACGTTTGGCCTTTGTTTCTATTTGTGGGCTAACGGTTATGTATTATTGCCTGACAAAGCACCCCAAAGCGTCGTGACTTAAAACTGTAATTCCCACAACTCTACAACCAAGGCTGGGTTGGTGGAGGGATCCCTCTGTCCATACTGTATCTGCTGGAGATGGACCAGCCAAATGGCTTCTCCCTTACATGTCTGGTGTCCACTGGGATGGCTGGAACAGCCAGCTTCTGGCTATGAAGCCTCTCCAACAAGAGTGGCCAAACTTCTCTCTGTAGTAGCCCAGGACTCCAAGAGACAGTACTCCGTGAGGGTGAGCCCTAATGTCCTCGCAAACATCAACCCCTCGCAATCACTGACTCACATCCTGTTCCCTAAAGCAAATCTCATGGCCAAGGCCAGGGTCCACTGCAAAAGAGCTGGGAAGCGTCATTTACAGAGAGCCATAGTCATTTATGCAATCAGCAAACCCTACCTTAAACCAGCTTGCAGGGGCCTCGGGGTGCCCTAGGGTGGAAGAGCTGGGCCTTAGACCCCCAGATCAGACATTGTGGTGTGGACCCCAGCTTTGCCCCTACTGGTCGAGGAGATGTGGGGGAACTGTGTGACCTCTCCAAGCCCCCTTTTCCAAAATGAAGGTAGCAATAGAATCCCCCATGTTACCTTCAGGAGGGAGATCTGCCTGAGCTAAGGTAAGTAGGGCACTCCGTCCACGTCACCTGTTGGGAAATCCTGAGGGGCCAGAGAAGCTCACCGTACCCAATGGCTGGAAAACTCCAGCCTGGACTTCTCCCTGGGGCTTTAAATCAGACGAGGATGTAAAGATGAGTTCCTCTCCGTCACTCTTATTAAGTTTTAAAATATTGATTTTTAGGTAAAAGACTCAGAGAAATCACTTCATTTCTCTCCTCAAAGACAAAGTCAGGTGGAGCCTGGGAGACCCGGGTTGCAGGGATCACACCAGGCAGGAAAGAGCCCTCACCAAACAGTGAGGCCTCTGTTCCACTTGTCACTAAGGGGGACAACTGGGGACTTTTCTATTCATCTCCAGCAGGGGGAAAAACACAAAACCTAAACATAGTACCCCCCAAAGTACATTTAATTAAAAGGGAACAAAGAAGCTTTGTGCATCTGAAGCCTCCCTGATTTGTTGTATTAAAAATCCAATTTATCCTCACAATAGGCTCGGGAGGGAAGAAGCAGCGGGTAGAGTAGGGAGACTCTGAGCTGACTGTCACCCCTCCCGCGTTGCTCCACGTCATTTTCGTAGTCCTGAAGAGCACGGCAGCTTCCTTGGCCTTTCGGCAGCTGGTTGTCCCACACAAGACCCAACAGATTCCTTCCCCAAAAGATCAAACAATGGCCGATGCCACAGGTGAAAAGGCACCAAGCCACACCAGGGCAATGCGTGTGACAACTACAGGGTGGCGCCACTCCGCAGCCGCCAGAATGGCAAACATGGAAGACAGGAAGGCAGGCAATGCCAAGGACTGGGGACCAGCATGCCTTTGGCAGCAGATGGCCAGGGCCACCGTGGGAAGCTGACTATATCTATCCCACAAACCCAGGTACCTGCCAAATAGCCGCGCACACACGAACTCCCAAATGCATATGCTAAAGTGTTCACGGGGGGCACAGTGTCTAGCACCCCCAACCTGGAAACTCCTCAAATGTCCATTAGCAACAGGCCCGAATTACATACATATGCTCATCAGTAAGGGGGACGGACAGCTTTAACACAGTGATATTCAAGATCGTCCCAAGTGTATTGTGGAGTGAAAGAAGTTAGACTCAGAACGGACCTAGTGTGTGGTTTCACTGCATGAAGTCCAAGAAAGGCCAAAGGAGTGTGTGGTGTGAGGAGTCAGGGGAGTGGTCACCCTGGCAGGGGGCGGTGGCTGGAGGGCAGGAGCAGGTCTTTCAGGGGTGCCGATAATGTCTGTCTCTTGATCTGGATGCTGGTTACACGCTATGTTCATTTTGTGAAAATTCACCAAGCTGGACACCTTCGGGCACCTTTCCCGATGTCTATAATGTTGTAATCAGAAGTAAAGTAAAGAGCACTGCCCAGCATGCCCAAGGCCCTGGGTTCAACCCCCAGCACTGGGGGAAAAAGTGAAATTTAAAAGCGTCTGCCAGGCAGCGACTCAGTGGGCCCTTGTCCCTCCTCCCATCCAACCCAGGGTTCCGGCCAGCCAGCTTGGTGGTCCTGCACAGGTCCCTGGTGCCAGCCTTCGAGAGGTTCTGCCAGGCCAACAGTGGTCCTCTGCCCCTGCTGGGCCAAAGTGAGCCAGAGTAGTGGATGTGGCCCACCCTGGGTGCTGTCCCAGGCATCAGGTAAAAGCCAGGGTTCCTGGGAGTCAAAGCTTGGGAGTGGCCACATGTGTCGTCCAGAGCCCTCTGTCCAGCCCTGAGGACCCCACAGTGCCTGGCACAGGGCCTCGCTCATGACTATTGCCCAGACGGCGCTGCCCTCCCTACTGTTCCCACTTATCCCCTGTCCCTTGATCCCATCCCTTGCCTCTACATCAGGGTAAAATTTTGGGATTTCTAAGAAAGTCCAGGCCAGGAGAGATCCCTTGGGCACTGCCACCTGTCACTTCATCACTCACTCCAGAAAGCTGCCTGGGCAGGTTAAGAAGAAAAGGATCACACCTCACTCACTAACCTCCAGCGGCCAACATCACCCGCGTTGTGTGATTCCGCCCAGACTTTTCAACTACAGCAGTCCTCCCTCATCCAGGGTCTCAGTGTCCACGGCTTCTGTTGTCCACAGTCAACTGAGGTCTAAAATACGAGGTGGAGAATTCCAGAAATAAATCATTCAAAGTTTTAAGCGACTGTTATTAACAGTGTGAGTTAGCTTTTCATAGTGACGACCAAAATACCTGTTAAGAACAACTTAAGGAAAGATTTGTTTGGGCTCTTAGTTTCAGAGACAGTCCATGGGTGGCTGGCTCCAAGGCCGAAACATCATGGCGGAAGGACAGAGGAAAGCTGGTCAGTTCATGGCAGCCAGAAAGCAGAGAGAGGCAGAGAGAGAGAGAGAGAGAGAGAGAGAGAGGAAGCGGCCAGAGACAGAGTCCCTGAACCCACGCTCCAGTGACTTCTTCCCCTAACCATGCCCCACCTGCCTATAGGTACCACCCAGGAGTCCATTCAAATTATTAATCCATCGAACAAATTGATCCTCTGATGAGGTCTGAGCTCCCACAATCCACTCTTTTCCCCACTGAACAGCACTGCAGTGCTAACTCATGAGCTTTTGGGGGAGCATTTCGAATTCAAACCACGACACAGCTAATTGTTATAATTGTTCTATTTTATTATTAGTTATTATTGTTGATCTCTTACTGTGCCTAATTGATAAATCAAACTTTATCCTAGGGGTGTGTTATGGTTTGAAACTAAAGGTTCCCCGAATCTCATGTATTGAAGGCTTGGTCCTCAGTACAGCAGTGTTTAGAAGTGGGGCTGTGGGGGTATGATTGGACCATGACAGCTCTGACTTCATCAATGGATTAATCCATCAGTGGATGAACCCATACTGGAATGGGTTTTGAAAGAAGGGGTTTGTTATAAAAGCAAGAACTCTTTCTGCTTCCTTGCCACCATGAGGTGAGCAGCTCTGCTCTATCATGTGCTCTCCGCCATGATGTTCTGCCTCACCACAGGTGGCCCACAGCAATGGGGACAAGCCACCAAGAGCTGAAACCTCTGACACCATAAACCGGTATAAATCTTCCTCTTTGTAAGTTGATTCTCTCAGGTGTTTTGTCACAGTGACTGAAAGCTGACTAACACGGTGTATATATTTAAGAAAAAACAGCATACACACAGCTTAGAACTAGCTAGTTATAACACGTCTATGGCCTGGGGATTCTAATGGCCCTGGGGATTCTACTTCCATAATGCCTCTCCAGTGAGTCCTCATCCCCCACCTGGCTAACTGTGGCTCACATCTGCCCTCGCCTAGACCAACAGACTTCGTAACTGCCTTCCTTGCCCTAGTCTCACCTTCTCCTCCCCTTCCCATCTTCTACTCTCGCCTTTTCTAAATCTAAATATGATCACATGACTTTCCTGTTTAGAAGCTCTCATGGTCCAATCATACCCCCACAGCCCCACTTCTAAACACTTTCTTCAGTGCCTTCCTGTGGCCCGCACCGTAGCCAGTCTCAGGACCCACGGTGATCCAGCCCCAGCTGAACTGCTCTGACCCAGATACTCTCGTCATCCCCAATCCTCTCTCCAGACAGACAGCACCCCAGGGACTTCCTGTCATTATCATTTTGTGAACTCCAGGGATGGAGACCCCAGGGCTGAGGTTGCTCCTTGAGGTTGCTCCCCTGATTCCTGCTGTACCACCAACTCAGAGACTCCTGGAGCACAGCCCCCAGTGGGCCATAGTGCTGGATGCCCCCACACTTTCCACATCCTGTTCCCTCTGCCTCCATGTGCCTTCCTCCTGTGTGACTGGAAAATTCCTATTTATGCCTAAACACCCAGCACCAACTCCTTGATGGTTACATGGTTGGCTTTCCTTTACTGTAACAAAATGCCTGACATAAACAACTTACAAGGAGGAGAGGCTTATTTGGACTTGTGGTTTCAGACCATGACTGGTGCTGTTGCTTTTGAGCCTATAGTGAGGCAGAACATGGTGGCAGAGGGTGCATGTTGGGGCAGAGCTGCTCACCTCACGGTGCCTGGAAGCAGGGGGCAGGGGAAGGGGCAGGGGTCAAATATCCTTTTAAAGGTCACACCTCCAATGACCTAACTTCCTTCTACGGGGCCACACATCCTAAAGGTTCCTCTATGTCCCAATAGCACACAGGCTGGCAACCAAGTCTTCAATGCATGGATTTGGGGGGACAATCCAGTTCCAAATTATTATGATAAGAAAGAGTGGGTTTCTCCCTTCCCTGAGTCACTCCTCTGCCTGACCTGTCAGCACTTCCTGCTCTGTATCGCAAGCACCTGTTTCCAATGCATTCTCACCGACCAGCGTAGGATCAGGAGCTACTTAGGGACTGGGATGGTGTCCTGTCTATTGCTACAGCTTTGTCACCCAGCGTTGTCTAGCAAGGAGCAACAGCGTGGTGATTTGGGAGTGAGTGAAGAACAGGCTCGGGACTATAGAAGGCTCCTGATCCTACAGAGGAGTTTCTGTAAGGAGAGAGAAAGGACTCAGGCTCTGCCAGTTCTGAAAGCTTCCTGGAGATATTGTCCTCTGTCCCGTGTGGTCTGCTGGCCCCACCTCCATGGCAGAGAGAGCACCACTGTTTTTTCTTGCTGGCTTGGCTGGTCTTGGGTGGGGTCATAGGAAATATAATGGGTGGTGGGGGCTACTTGATATGCATGCCAATTTAGTCACCTCCAATCTGGTCATGTTTCCAGGGTGCCAACCAAGGCCTCTGCTGAAAACCGCTTTCTTGACCTTGCCACCAAGAAAGTGGGCCCGAAAATTCAACCCTGGACGACCCTTGCTCACCCCAGTCCTTTTAAAAAATCCATTGCCCAGGACCATATGGAGGGTCTGGGGCCTATGAGCTTTGCCCTGTGTCCCCAGGACAGTCTGTCCCCAGTTCCAGAAATATGAATGTGGTGACTGCGCGGGCTCCCTGATCTCGCTGGGGGAGTACTTGGAGCAGCTGAAGGACATGGTGATCTTCGTCTTAGACTGCAGCTTCTCCCTGGAAAGGGCCTTGGAGAAGGTGGGGCTCCCCGGAAGAGACCCAAAAGGTCTCAGCCACGCAGGAGCATACCAGGTAGGCACACAACCCACCAGCAGAGAGAGGCCTTGTTGTAGGGACAGACGAGGCAAGGCACCAAAGACAGCAGGAAACAGTTTTATTTGGCTGCAGCCAGGTCCAGAGGGCACAGCGTTTGCTGTAATCAATCAATCCCCCGAACCCCGAGTTCAGGGAGCTTCAGAGTTTTATACCCAGCATGTAAGGGAGGGGCTCAGAAGTTCACAGTCTGCAGAAGTTCACATAGAAGCAGCTTTTTCTTTCACTGGTTTGGGCAAGTGAACCCTTCAAGGGCAACACCTGAGAAGCGGGGAGCTTCTTCTCCCCTTTCTTTCCTCCCCTGCCAGCTGTTACCATGGAACCCAATTGGTAACTTCTCTTATCTTATGAATGTGGACATCTCTGTGAAGCCCAGCTCCAGGCCAGAGGCCTTGTTTGCACACTTCTTCAAAGTCCTATACTGGATACATTTGTGAACAACTAGTAAGGGGGTGTCCAGCACCTGGAGTGCTGGTATCTTCTCAGCCAGTGGCCAAGTAAAACAGGGCGACACGAAAATAGGAAGTTTATCTACAATGGACTCTTTTGCAGAGACTCTTTTCCTGACAGTTCTAAAATCAGCCATGGAGAAGATTCCTGGAGAGGCCCAGTTAAGTCTTTTCTGTGGAGAAAAGGGGGTGCTACTTCAGCCTGAAAATGTGGGTCAGCTTGCATTTTCCTGTGGTGGGGAGAACATTGGCACAGAAGGCAGAAAATCTAAGTTCTGTCCCCAACTCAGCCACTTTTGCAACCCAGGAAAAGTCGTTCACCTCTGAGCCAACCTCTCGCCCACCCACCTCCAGTACTGCCGTGACATCCAATGTGGCCCTTCTTGGCAGGGCATTGCGACCGCGTCCACCAAACCTCTCTGGAATGTGTCTGGGTCTTTTAATTTAGGGCCCCTCGGTGAGGTTTTTCAAACACTTCCCTGGTTCAGGTGCACATCTCTTCAAGGAAAATGTGGCTGGCTATGCTAATGCCCGGGGATTTGTGGCAGGGCCTCTGCCAGCGGCTAGCTGCTATGTTATGTCTGCACCAGGAAAACCTGGTCTTGTTCTTGGCTGGAGGTGACTGCACTGCAGTTGGCTCCCCCTGGGCTGAGCCTCTGATAGATGTTGTAACCCTTCCCTGTGCCTCTGGGCTTTCCTTCCAGCCATCACCTATCCTATCTGTGGGAGAGGATTAGCCTGGCATTCCACAGACCTCTTCCTGGACAGGAATGTCTGAGCATTCTCGCTGCTAGGTCAGTGCAGATGGTGACGTTGCAGGTTTCCTTATTCATGCAGGACTCAGATCGGAGATTTCACCCTGAGCCTGCAACGTTTATTAAAATGTCTGGTTTGGGCTCCTGCCAGAGAGGCCTGAGCTGCCTCTGGTCAGAAACAAGGGTGTCCACAGTCTGTGCTGCCATTCACAGGGAGCCATGTGCCCGACAGGTTTTCTTGAACTAGGGAAGGGCGGGGATGGTGCTGTGGCTGGCTGCTGGCTGGGCCCCAGAGCAGGGTCCAGCCCTGGAACTTACTAGCATTGGAGTAGGTGAGGGCTGGGAGGGCCTATGGCTCATCACACACAGCCTCTCATTTGAGATGAGGAAACTGAGGCAGAGAGAGACAGATAGACAAATAGACACTTGCTCAAGTCCCAAAGCCAACTGGAACCTGGAACCCCTGTCTCCCATCTATGTTATGTCAACGAGGCAGGTGTGATCATGGAGGGACGCCTCGTGGAGGTGCAAGTGTGTCCACATCATGTGCTTCACGTGGCCGTGGTTGCACTTGTACCATACTCACTGTCCCCGAGGCCTGACAGCGACCCCTCTGCTCCTGGGTCCTGGGACAGGTGATCAGGCAGCCATCTTGGATCCTGCTGTCAGCCAGGAGGAAAAGCCACCTCCAGACAGAGGCCCCTTGGCCTTGGGGAGTGCTCCTGGCTCTGCCAGTGGCCCTGGAATGGAACCTGTCCCTCTCCCAGGGCCGTTCCGCAGACACCGGGCTGACAGGCACACCCAAGTTCATCCTGCGGCTGCCAGAGTGGGAACAGCATGCCCTTGAGGTGACGGCCAAGGCTTTCCCAGGGGATGACAGTTCTGGCCGCATCCTAAATCTTCCATAAGCCCCACTGCAGGGACCAGAAACCATTGAGGAGGAAGAACACAACACACCGGTCACCCTGGGCGACTTCTATTGAGACCGGGGTGAGGCAGGGCCCCGGGAGCTCTGGACGACTCTTTCCAATGTGGAATCTGGGGTTGGAACAACACCAGCTCCTCGTGGGATATTCTGCTCCCTTGCGTCTCTCCACCTGTGATTCTCTCAGAAGTTCCTTGTCTGTGGTCCACGGGTCCCTTGAGACCCACGGAGAAAATTCAGAGGGTCCATGAAATTGGATGGGAAAAAAAATACCTTTTTTATTTTTATAACCTCAAATTGAAGCACAGGGTTTCCTTTAGTTATGAAAGTCAGCAACACGCGGCCGCCTTACCAGCAGACCTGATGGCCAAAAGAAATCGCAGATATCTTCATCACAGCCCTTCCTGGAATGTCAAAAGTATCCCACACGGATCACTCTTCAGACTCACAGTGGTTGTAGATCGCCATTTGGTTCCTGAAGCTGTTGACGGGAAAGCACACGTACTGTGGCCTCACATTTTTTCAAGAACTAGTAACTTCATGTTGCAATAAAGCTGGTTGCCACTGGAATCCTATGAATTTTTTTTTAAGTGGTTAACAGCATGACTTTTAACCACAGGGCGTCCGTAGCTGCAGCAGGCCCCCAAAGGAATCCATGGCACATAAAAAGTTAGGATTTGCTGTTTTAAACCAGTGGTTATCAGCAAACATGCCCATCTCTATGTCACCTCCAAGTAGAGGGCGGATTTTTATAACAGCTCCTGGGACCTCCCCCTTCATTCAGCTACCTTGAACTCTGGGTGCTCAGGGCTTGGATCTGGGCTAAGACGGTTTTCTAACATTTTTCACTTGATTTGACAGACAACAGTGCCTGGTGCCCCTGTTGCTGGTTTCTGCTGCCCTCTGGTGGCCACAATGAGGACTGTTCCCAAAGACAAGCTGGAAAGGCTGCTGCAGGCCCCTTGCTCCATGGGAGGTGACCAAGGACAACCCTTTCACATCGGTGACCCAGGTCAGTGCCCAGACTTGTTCATGATTCTCACAGTGCCTTGGAGGACTCAGGAACTTGCCTGGTTCCCAGGGCCTGGGGGGAGGGGTGGGGATTGCAGGGCCTGGAGGAGGCCCAGAGGGTCCTGGAGCGGCCCCAGGGCTGAGTGTACAGAGACCCCCGGGATTTAAAGCTGCTGCCCTTGGCGGGTTCGCCAGCCTCACTCACTGGGATCTTTGATTATGGTGAAGCCCCTGTGAACTTCAAATGAAACTGGGGGAAGCAGAGGGTGGCAGCAGGACTCTTTGTCCCAAGATTTGAGCTCAAAGCCACCTCTAATCTGGTCAGTGGCATATGTGGGCGGAGAAGCTCTGTTCCCGATTTTCCCTGGGGCTGAAACCCACTGCTTCCCAGAGTATGAGCTCAATCTGAAAGTGAGTAAAAGGATCCAGGGGTGAAGGACTGTAGTTGGGAAGCTGCCCGGGCCTCTTGGAGCTGGCAGAAGGCCTGATAAGAGTCTGGTGTTGGCCCTGGGTGAGACCAACGTACAGAGCTTGCCCAGCTGTGTACCAAAAAAATTTTAAAAATCATGCAAACCTTGGCTTCTGTGAAAACACAATCAGCATTTGCTGCCTTCCTCATGTAAAGACAGGCTAGAACCACCCACCAGGAGGGGGTCTGCTGAGCAGGCCTAGCGTCCATCTTCCCTGTCCTTGTCCACCATGATGGCCACTCAGGTTGGAGGTGCTATTGGTGGTAAGCAACAGAGGTTCTGTGCAACGCGACTCAGTCTGTGTCGAGAAAAACTGGAAAACGCTGGCTTCGTTACCATCTGCAATGAAAGTAGAGCATTGGGCTCAATGCCTTCCGGAAATCACATCATGGAGTTTGAGTTTCCGGTTTCTGGAACCCTATCAGCCAAGATGGGCCACAAGTTATGGGGTATCCTGAGTTGGAAAGTCTCCTAGTCCCCTTCTCCTCCTCCTCAAATACCATTTGAGATAAACCTGAGACTAGGGTTCCTTTTGGAGAAAGAACCATACGCTACTCAATGTGGAGGGTACCTGCCAGGGGAGTGACCAATTTTTTTCTCTCTCTACCTGGAGAACTGTTGGGAATCAAAGCACTCTCTAGGCCTGACTATGGGGAGCCCGTGGAGTGGCGGCCAGGGGACATCCCAGTGTTCTGGCCTTCTCCACTGACCAGCCTCGAAGCTGTCAGCAGCTGCAGTACGTTGGGGGCACAAGGGGGCACCTACTTCTGACCTAGGGCAGAGCCAGTGGCCTGAGTTCTTGAAAGCAGAGGCTTAGAGGGCAACGATTTCCAGACCAAAGCCCGAAACAAGACTCTCTGCGTCCTTAACCCCAGGGTGGGTCTCCTCGCCAGAGCAGCTCAGAGCTCAAATACATTTCATCTCTAAAGACTCACAGCTCATCCCGACAGGAGGACTAATCTTTAGCTTCACTTTTCGAGACATCTTGGAGGTTGGTAGGGCCCTGAACACAAGATGCAAAACCAAGAAACACAACGAACCAAACCATTTCACATTGTCCAGGCATCCTTCCGTATCCATGGGAACTGACTCCAGGAAACGCCCCCATACAGGATACTAGAGTCCATGGGTTCTCAAGTTCCTTATAAATGACAATATTTTCATATCACCTGCAAACACACACACACGTATACTTTGTCATCTCTAAATTGCCTCTATGAACTAATATAATGTAAATACTTAAATAGTTGAACACTGTATTGTTTAGGGAATAATGACAAGAAAAAAATGTCCGTACATGGTCAGTACAGACACAGTTTTTTTCCCTTTAGACTATTTTCAATTCACAATTGAAATACAGAGGCCAATTGTATTTAACCAGGTAATTGAAAACACCGTCAGTACATTTTTTCAAAGAGCACAAGTGATATTACAATGAAGAGACACTTGAGGGCACCCTCAGCAGTTCACAGCAAAATTGGAACATTACAGAAACAATAAAAATAATAATTGTTGCAACCCATTGTCTTAGAGCCAGGAAAATTCTGGCCTGGTCAGCCACACTTGCTCTAGAAGAAATAGAACTTACTGTTACTTTAGCTTATTTTGGAAGCGTTCACGAGAGTTTGGCTATCAGTACTTGTAACAAGAAAAGATTCTCTGTAATAAGGTGAAAAGATACGCCAAGATTCCCCAGGATGCTATTTATTCATTTATTTAACATGCGTTCATTGAACACCTACTATGTTCCAGGCCTGACCCAGATCTTGGGAATATAAAGCTGCATGAGACCAGATGGAGCCCTCGGAGAGCTTGTGATCGTTTGGGGGTGGGGTTTGAGGGAGCTGTGTACACAACCTCACACACGCAGTACTTGTGCCTAAGCACAGCAGTCTCTGGTCCCCTGCCATCAGACACCAGGATACCCTGCAGAACTCACCGCCACGGGCCGCCCCATACACTCCAGCCCTTTGGCTCCGGTGATAATTGTGTATCTGATTGCAAATGAGAACAAACAACATCATCAGTCAGGACAAACTTGAATCATTCTTCAGCTTCGACCTTTAAACTCTGATTAGCAATTGACTGTTCTGATGGGTGATGGCTCTGGAGTGGCCATGCTATCTAAAATACAGAGAAACAACGACAGCACCCTGCAGACCCGGTGGTCCTTCCCTGTATGCGTCACATCTGGAAGGTGTGTACCTAGCAGTAGGTTTTCCTTTTGAAGCATGGGCTGGCTCTGACTTTCTTTACATCTAAGAAATTCTACTGTTACGTGAATCCGAGACATTGTTATTTACTCAATTCACCTCTATGTTTTTTGAACACCTATTATGTGCAAGGAATTCTGAGATGAACAAGCAATGGTTCCTCCTCCCGAGGAGCCCAGCTGGGTGAAAGCAGCCTGCCCAAGGACAATAGTAACCACTGAAGGCAGAAAGGACCAAGTAAGGACCAAGCAGCCAGGAGCCAGGCGCAAGGAGAGAAGCTGAGATACCGTGTCTGGTGCAGTAACGCCAACCAGCACTTACTGAGGGCTGACTCTGTGGCAGGCACTTGGCTAAGCACTTTTATGTGCATTTTCCAATTTAGTACTGACAACGACCCCCGGAGGTATTATCATCGTTCTATAATCGAGGAAATAAGTGTAGAGAGGAGAGAGTCACATCTCAAACTCGAGTGTGTCTGCCACGCTGAAGCTGCTCCTTGGTAACTGTGCTGCAGCACCTCGCACGGCTGCGATCTAGTAGGGGAGAGTTTTCTTAAAGAACAAAATTAGCATAAGCTGAAGCAAAATATAAGTGCTACGAGAAAAATAGAAACCACGTTCCCAGTGTTCGCAGCCAATCTAACATTCCCTGGAAAGCAGACGGAGATGCCGAGATGCTCTGTAAACACTTGGTGGTCTCCATGGCTTCAGCGCTGGCCCCAGCTGTGACTGTACCTCCCTTCTTTTGTCACCCTCGACTATCTCTGCTTTCCTAGAACTCGGAGGCAGCTGTCTAAATGGGCCTTCGGTCCTAAGCTCTGGTCTTGGTGCCGCACAGGCCAAGTTGGGGCGTGGGTGCCATCTTGCCATCCACAGTGGGCAAAGGCGAGAGTGGCCGGGCCCAGTCCTTCCTGTCGAGTGTTGCAGAGGCTCCAGTGGCTTTCACCAGCACTCCAGGACGCACGGTGATGACCGCCCTGAAGGATACAAAGACTCGGACCAGCTGTCTCAGCCCTGAGGCGACCCCAGAGGTCCACCACGTTTCCCCAGACCCTCTGCACTGTAGCATTGCATCAGCTTCCGCCGTTCAGAAGATCAGAGAACTGGAGGCGACCATCTCCATAGACCCAGGTAAGACAGAGCAGTCACACCCAGTGACCTGGAGAGACTCATTCCCTGCTGCAGTGCTCAGGGAGAAGGGCAGGACCTGGGCGGGCTGCAGCTCGAGGGTGGAACGCTTCACCATCAAGAGCCATGAGGCCTGGGTTCCATCCCCCTGCCCCCCCCACACACACACACACACAAAAACTCTGCAAACTGGGTCCACAGCATGAGTTTTTTAAATGCTCATCCTGCATGTGAATCCCAAGGAGGCTGGAGGTCAATGCACCCAGACGCTAACGTTGGCCATCTCTCCGGTGGGCGGTGGGTGATCTTTTTTCTTTATGACTTTTCGCTGCTGTTCTAAATGTCAGCACTGAACACAGGAAGGGAGCCTGAGGGGAGAGAGTGCCCGCTGGGCGCCTTCTACCCAGAACCTAATGGGCCAGGCAGAAGAGAAAGAAAGGGAGAGTGGCTTCTAGGGGCAACTGCCCCCATTTAAAAGAGGCTCCCCACGTACTCATTAAGGTGTCCAATTTCCCCCCCGTTAGTGCCGTTGCCCTGGGTTGGACACAGATTGGACTTTTACACTGGGCAGAAGGTGGAGGTGGGGGCTGGACGGCTCCCCCTTGAGGTCTGGGTGGGCTACAGCCTCACCAGCTTCCAGCCAACCTGCAGAGTGTACATGTGCCTCAGGGAAGGGACGGCAGGGACGGCTCCCCTGCGGTCTGTGAGTCATGGGCGCGGGACAGGCTCTAGGATCCTCCAGGCGGCTGCTGATTCCAAGGAGGAAGAGGTTGGCTGAGGGCCTTTGGAGGCTGTGAACTTCCCCTCCACCTACCTCCAGGAGCGGAACCCCGGACGGCCAGCAGAGGGCGCTGTTTCGCCCGCTGTCTGGGAAGGGCAGACTGGGTTCCCGGGGTCTGTGTTCTCAAGAGCGACCTACCTGAGTCAGTGGACAGGACTTCCAGCAATCGTGCTTCCCTCCTGGGCTTGGGGAAGATTCCTGGGCGTCACTCTGTGCCGAGCATCATGCTGAAAGCACGACTTGTCCCATCTTATTAAATTCTGCCAGTGCCTGCGAGACAGCTATCGTCAACTTCACTTAACACACGAGGAAACCGAGGCACACGAGTTTAGGAAACTCGTCTAAGTCCACATAACCTCCCAGTTGGTCCAGCGGAGCTTGAACCCATGTCCACCGACTCCAGTGCCCATGATTTATCCGTGTTGGCTAAATTGGAGTCTGAGTCCACCTGGTACGTCACGGCATCACCTGGGCAGGTAAAGGGAGGTTCCGTCACCCCCTGGCTCACAGTCCACTCCTTCATCTGCACCTTCGTTTCCCAAGGGATTCCTGGATCAGATCCATGGTGGGCGGCCCCCACGGAGCACAGAGGGGTGAGGCCAGTCTGGGGCAGTGAATTCTTGGGCCAGACTCTCAGGACCCAGACAAAGCTATTTCCGGTGACAGTGTAAGAGGACAGCTCCTGGCAGGGCCGTGGAGCAGACAGCCTGGGACCCTGTCCCCTGCTGGCCGCACTGTAGCCCGGAATCTGACAGAGCAGACCAGCCTTAGAAATGGCGGCTTTTGTCCCCTGGGGCTGGGAGCAGAGATCATGCAGTCATGAAGCTTCCCACTGAACCACCGGGCCCAGCTGCTCGCCTGGTCTCTGGTCTGCTCATTCCTTTATTCCTCCTGTAGGGGATGTGGCTTCCTTTGCGTGCAACACATGTAAGTTCAGCCCACCACAGGCAGAGCCAGGACCCTCCCATGCAGCGGGCAGGTGTGCATGGTCTCTTGGTGGATCGTGGATGGATTGTGTGTGTGTGTGTGTGTGTGTGTGTGTGTTGCTGGGGCTGGAACCCAGGGTCTAGCCCACATGCTGGGCCAGTGCTGTGCCGCTGAGCTACATCCCCAGCCCCTGGGTGGATATTTTCTAAACTTTGCACGTATTTTCTTCCACACACACATTCTTGCCCACGCTGTTGGCTCTCCCACTTAGCACAGGCTCATGAGGAAGAGGAATTATTAACTCAGCCATTCACTTAAAATTTTTAAAAAAATTAAAAGGAACTGGGAAGGGTACTGACCACAGAGGGGATGAATCCTTTGCTTAATAAGGGTGATGCGAGAGGTCAAGCCCAGCGCCGCCCGGCAGTGCCCTGGCAGACTGTGCGTGTTGGGAAAAGGAGGCTCGGAGGCAGATTAATGGCTGTCTGGACGTATTGATTTCATCTTCTAAGGACCATCTTAAATCCTCAAGAACAATAGATGATTTTGATTGCCACTATATTAAATAGGCAGACAGGAGATTTATGACAGCGTCCAGGGCACTCAGAACTATTCAGCAGGCATGAGAGTCACATGGTGTTTTTTTAAAAGGATCTTGCACACCAGGTCCCTGGAGAATCTGAAGGAATACCAGGGATATAGGGGGACAGTAATGATTTTTGCACTGATAATAAAATCATCATAAATGGATGCAGGGATTTTGGTTGACCAACCCCCCCCCCCCTTAGTGCTCACCATGCCCTATGGAATACAGTACTTCCTGATTGTTTCCTTTAAAAAGTTGTGATTCTTCTCCCCTCTTATCAACAGTACTTCATGCTCATTATAGATGCATCAAAAAATATATGAAAGTTAAAAAAAGCACTGAAATTTATCAGAACCACATTGCAATTAGCCAATATCGACAGTAATTTTTTTCTTCACTCTCAAACCTCTGCAGGCATGCATATGGACTAGAATTCTAGTACACTACTTTATAACTTGCTCTTTGCACTTTTGAATATATAGTGAACGTTTTCTATATCACAGTCTTCCATAACGTCCTTCTTAATGTTTGCCTAGAATTCCATTATATTTCTATGGAATGTTATCTATTTATAGAAATGTTCTGCCTTTGATTAATATCCCAGTACTTAACCCCATAAATAATACCATAGTGAACATCCTTATCACTAAATTTGTCTACACACTCGTGATTTCTTTACTAGGTATGCTGCAGACTAGAAGTGGGTAGCTGTCTCTGTGGAATGTACAAATCTAAGATATAGACAAAACTGTTTTAGTTCCCACTTGGAAAACTGAGGCTCAGAGAGGTCAAGAGGTGTGGCTGAGGACACACAGAAGTGACTTGCTAGCACCTGCACAGAATCAGGTTTCCAGATTCTCAATCTGGACATTTGCTCCACAGGAAGTACCAGCCCTGCATCCCCTGGGTTCCCCATGCATGGCTGCACACCAACGTCCCTTTGGTCCTGGGATTCCAGCCATAGCCAGGGTGGAAGTTCCTAGTCACGCTCTCCCCCACAGGGCTCTGTTTGGCTCTGAGATGACCCACGTGTGGCTAGGCGTGATGCTCTGTGACGGCCAGGAGGCTGAGCCTGCGGTGGCCATCACAGCATGCGCTGCTGCTGCCCCGCCTGCCCCTGCTGGCCCCCTGGGTGCCAGCTACAGCCGAGTAGTGGTTCCCAGCAGAGCAGCTCCCACCGTAGACTCAGATCCCTCCGAGGACAGTCTCTGTCCCTCCAGAGCCTCCTCTGGGCTCCAGGGAGCATAGAGGGTCAGTACCCCGATGGGTTTGCCGAGCTGCCATAACGAACCAGCCCCGAGATGCTTTGCTGAAACACCCTAGGAGTCCCTGCGCCCTCGCCTAACCGTCCTGGGGGGTCCTCCAGGGAGTGTTCTGAGTCAGCAGGAAGGCGTTCTGCTCCCGGTCACTCAGGGACCCAGCAGCTCTGCCACGAGATCATGTGACGGGGGGCTCCAGCTGTCAACATCCCACCCCCCAAAAAGGGAAAGAACGTGGAGAAATGCACAGGAAGTGTGGGGCCAGATCAGAGGGCACCCGTCCTTCCCACTAATGGTCCCCGGAGACAGCCAGTCTCATAGCCACAGCTAGATGAACGGGAAGCCAGTCAGCCATTTACCCAGTGGCCCTTCACCCCTGGGGGAAGTGGGGGGACAGGAATGCTTTCTGGTGAACAATTCTTTTTTTGTTTTTTGTATTTGTTGATAGACCTTTATTTTATTTATTTATTTATTCATATGTGATGCTGAGAATCGAACCCAGTGCCTTGTCCATGCCAGGCAAGTGTGCTACCATGAGCCCCAGCCCCAGCCCCTGGTGAGCAATTCTTTAAAACACAAAGCAGCCTGGTGCAGAGGTGCACGCCTCTGATCCCAGCTATCTGGGAGGCTGAGGCAGGAGGATTGCAAGTTTGAGGCTAGTCTGGGCAATTTAGTCAGACCTGTCTCAAAATATTAAAAAGGGTCAGGGATGCAGCTCGGTGTTTGCGCACCCCTGGGCTCAACCCCCAGTAATGGAGGGAAGGAAAGGAGGGGAAAGGGAGGGAGGGAGGGAACAGTGAAAACCCAGATACTCTTAGCATGAAATTTTGACTTTAAGCACAATTGGTTGATTTTATTTTAATGCTTTACTTTTCTACTTTAGGCAATCGAGGAATCGGGCCCCTGCTCTGTCAGGATGAGCTGCTGAAGGCCTCTCTGTCCCTGTCCCGTGCCCACTCAGTGCTGATCACCATGGGGTTCCCCACACATTTCAACCACGAGCCCCCAGAAGAGACAGATGGCCCTCCGGAGCAATGGCCCTGGGCACTTCCTGCAGCCTTGGAGAAGGAGGTCTCCATGGTGGTCGGCCAGAGAGCCTTCAGCTTGCCCAGGAAGCTTGTTGAAGACGCTGTAGAGCAAGGTAAGCAGGGACGGGCCCAGTCTATTTCCCCAGAGAGGCTTTTGCAGAGGCTGGCGGGAGTTAGCGTGCGCAGCCCTCTGCAGGGCACCCAGGCACAGGGCTGTGTCCTAGACACAGGGAGTTCTCCTCCGAGCTCAGAAGAACCCTTTGCCATATGCAGCACCATTCCCGTTGTAGAGAGAAAGAGACTGAGGCTCCAAGAGGGCCAGGGACTTACCCAGGCAGGAATGGTGAGCTGGGATTTGAACTCAGGTCTGCCAGGCTGCGAGGACTTCAGCCACCCCCCAGCTCAGCCCTGGATCACTGGGGTTGGGGAGGGGCGGTGGAATACCAGGCAGTTGAAAGGTGCAGACCGCAGTGTCCCACCTGTGCAGATGGCCAGGGCTGCGCCTGAGATGCCCAGATGCGATCAGGGCTGCAGGGGCTGGAGATGCAGGGCTCTGACCAGTCCATGTGCTGAGCCTGGCCGTGGGCTGTGTGAAGCCTGCTCCCCACGCCGCCTCCACCTTGAGGGGAGGGCTACTCAGGCACAGGTTGGAAGCCCGGGGAATATGACCACTTCCCACCACCTCTCTCTCTCTCTCTGCGTCCCTCCACACGCATCCCTCAGGGAAGTGGACTGAGGCCTCAGTTCCTCCAAGACCCAATTCCTCCAGTTCCTTCCAGCATTTAAAAAGGACTTCGATGCAGGGAAATGGATGGCATTAGAGCAGATTATGCTAAGTGAATTAGCCAATCCCTAAAACACAAATGCCGGATGTATTTTCTGATATAAGGGGGGTGACTCAAGATGGGGTAGGGAGGAAGAGCATGAGAAGATGACCTCTACCTAGGGAAGAGAGGTGGGAGGGAAAAGGAGGGAGAAGGGGAGTTGCACGGAAGATGGAAGGAGACCCTCATCGTTATACAGAATACACATATGATGTTGTGATGAGAAAAAGAAAAACAAGTGTGTCACATTGGATCTGGTAGAGAGAAGGGATGGGAGGGGAGGGGAGGGGGAGGGGCATAGGAAGGGCAGCAGAATAGAATAGAGATCAGGATTACTGTGTGGATATACGTGACTGCATGACCAATGTGATTCTGCAACCTGTGCACTCAGAAAAATGAGAAATTATACCCCATTTGATTCAAATGTATGAATTGTCAAGATCATTGTACTGTCATTGTAGCTAATTAAAACAAATAAAAAAAGGACTTCAACTCCAGCAAGGCCAACCCTAAAGTGCCCCATTATTTTGGAAGTGTCACAAAGGCTGTTTCTGTGCATGCAGACTCCACCTAAGGCAGCAAACGTATATCAAGGACCTACTATGTGCCAGGCACCGTGAACAAAACCAGCAGCAATCCTGCCCTCATGGGGCCTGTGTTTTATTGGAGTTTGACAGAAAACAAACCACATTAGAGAGAAGGATGCTGTGTTAGAAGGCGACGATTACATGGAGAAGGAGCGGCAGATAGGAGTGGGCATGGGGGCCAGCAGTGGCTACTGCTTTAGACAGGAGGTTAGGGAGGACCTCGTGGAGAAGGTGACATGTAGTGGATGGAGTGAGGCCGGGCGGGCTGAGGGAAGAGTGCCCGGGTGCAGCATCAGCCTGGGCAGAGGTCATGGTGGAGGGGACCTGGCAGATGTGGGAGAGGACACAGGCCTCTGAATGCCTCTGGGTGCACCTTGGGCATCTGAGCTTTTGTTCTGGTGAGGCCGGAGCCCTGGGAACCCACTGAGAGGAGCACAGGCTCTCCCTGGTCCTGGAAGGTCCCCGGCTGGCACAGTGGACTGGTCAGGTTGCCAAAGGTGGGAGGGGAGGGTGGCTTGGGACGGGTAGGCTATCCAGGCCTGGCCATCGGGTCCCTCCCCGAGCCTCCTGGCGCCACCTCCACCCCCAGCTCAGGCCCTGGCTTCAGAGTAAGGGGGACAGGCGAGCGGCACAGGTCCAGGTGGAGGTTGGGAGTAGCTGGATTCTGCTGGTGTCTTGTAGGTGGCGTCGACCTGAGTTCCCGTGACCTGGTGGGGGTGCCGTGGGGCATCGGGGACTGCTTCCTCTAAGGCTTCCGCCCGGGTGACTGAAAGGACGGAGCTGGATGAGCTGAGACAGGGGCGGGGGAATCACTGTGGAGCAGGTTTGGGGTGTGAACCAAGAGTTTGGGTTTGCCAGGCACCAAGGCACAAGCCTGCCGCCCCGCTGCTTGGGAGCCGGGGGCAGAAGGATCATAAGTTCAAGGCCAGGCTGGGCAACGGAGCTAGACCCTGTCTCCAAATTATGGGTGTGGTTCAGTGGTAGAGTGTCCCTGGGTTCAATCCCCAGATTCATAAAAGAAAAAAGAAAGAAAAGAATCCGGGTCCGGGAATGGTGCACCGTCCCTGGGACAGCAACATGGTGCAGGTGCTCTGTAGAGCAGTATGGCAGCTGCTTAAAACATTAAAAATAGGATTCCCCTCCATCCAGCACTAATCACAGTTGTGGTAAGAAACACATAACATAGTTGTCCAAAAATGGAAACAACCCAATTCTCTGCGGATGAATGGATGGACATGCAAAATGTGGTGTAGACGCACAGCGGAATATTACTCAGCCTTGAAAAGGGAGGAGATTCTGACACAAGTCACAACATGTACGAACCTTGAGGACACTTTGCTAAGTAAAATAAGCCAGTCATGAGAGGACAGATACTGTATGATTCCACTTATAAAGGAGGGACCTAGAGTTGTCCAGTTCACAGTGATGGAAAGTGGAATTTGTGTTGCCAGGGGCTTGGTGGAGGGAACATGAGGGCTTGGTGTTGAATGGGTCAGAGTTTCAATTTAGGAAGATGAGAGTCCTTGAGATGGGTGGTGGTGACAGTCACACAAGGTGAACACACTTAGTACCACCAAATTAAAAACGGTTCAGATGATGGATTTTATATCTTGTGCATTTTTCCACAGTTTTCTTGTGGAGTGCAGGCTTAAAGCATGCACCTTGGGAGGTGGACATGCGGGTGAGCGCCTAGAGCTGCCTGCGCCACCAGGATGCCTTAGAGAGCCGTTGACACCCTGGGAGCCGCAGTGAAGACACTGGGGAAGTCCAGGGAATAAGTAAAGATGGAGCAAAGGACCCGGTTACCCCCAGGGACCCCTCCAGGGAAGAGGAGCAGGAGGGAGGGAGAGCAGAAGGAGCCCATGTGTGGCCATGGGCAGAGAGGGTCTCGGGGGCAGGGGATGGCCCAGGTCTGGTGCTGCTTGCGGCCAGCTCCGTTTCCGTGGGACCCTGCACTGGAGGGCATTTTTTTTTTTAGCAGCAGCTCCCCCAGGAGCTGGGCTGGGCAGCTGCTCTGTGGCTGCGACTTAGAGCTGGGGATGGTTCTACTGGATTCTGCAGAACTTTCATTACATTTGAATGAAGAAAAGAATCAGTCTGGCCTTTTGATGACAGTGATTTCAGTCCTTTGGTGACTGAGGCCCAGAGGTCCCCACGTGTCCTTCCTCAGGTGCCACCCCCTCTGGGATGCCCATGTTCTCTGCCCTGTTGGTCCCCTGGGCCCCCTGACGGGTACCTACACCCTTGATCCCCTTCTGAGGACGTGAGAAAGAGCCGCCTCTGCTTAGTGCCCCCTTTGTGCCAGGCAGTCGGCGGGTGCCACCTCAGGGAGCCATCACGGCCGTCCTGGTAGGTGGGCGTGACTTGGCAGAGGGGGACACCCAGGGCTTGGGTGGCTGGTAGGAAGTGGACGAGATTCCCACCTGCAGCCCAGGGAGGGGCTGGGGCTCTCAGCCTGTGTGACTTCCTGTCCCCTGTCCCCAGTCCCCCAGTTATGGCCCATCACTTCACAGGTGGACCGTCCTGACCAGCATTCCCCGATGACCACCTCGTGCCTGCCCCTCAGACGGGGCCGCAGCCAGGCCCGCAGCAGGGCCTCTCGCAGTGACCCTGGTCCTCACCTCAGCCTGCCCCTTGGGCCCTCGGGGATGGCGCAGCGGCTCGCAGAGGGCCCGGGGCAGCTGAGGGATGGAGAGCCTGAAGGAGCCCCTGCCCTGAGGCTGCATTTGTGACACAAGCGTGTGGCCTTAATGTAGAGAGTAGGGAGCGAGAAGTGGCCTTACCCTTACATGACAGTGTAGGAGCCGGTGATGGGGATTATGGAGATGGCCGAATCACCTCCAAAATACCTCCTGGTGCCCGTCCAGGAGCCCTGCAGACCCAGGAGGCCTGCAGTGTTGTGCGGGAGACCCCTGCCCCCAGCTCTGTCCCCATCCAGCTCGACATGAAGAAGCCTTCATCCTGGGCCCACGAATAAACCAGATTCTACCCCAGACGGCTGTGAGATAGGCGGGCGAAAGCTGGTTTTGTGTATATTTTGCTCATGTTCTACCACAGTGGGTATTATTTTTATAATTAGAGCAAGTGGGTTTTTTTTTTCTTTTTTTCAAGACCCAAATTCATCTTGGAAATCACTCCCAAATAAGTAGCTAACCCAAGGCTCGGTCTCTGGGGCTTTCTTGAATTTCCCTGAAGGTATGCAGTTGGTGGTGGGGGGGAGGTGGGAACTTGGGGTGAGAACTGGAGTCCTGACATCGACCCCAATACTTGGCGTTGCCCAAGCTGTTCAGTAGCTCTGAGCCTTGGTTTTCCTCTTCTATAAAATGGGAATAACAATGGTATTTATTCCACAGAACTGTGAAAGTTAAGTGAGAGTGTGATGTCCAGTGCCCAGTGGAGGGCCGCACACTGTCACCGTGGGCACGTAACTGTGTGCCCAGCGCTCTCCCTGGCTGGCACAGGCTTGGTCCGTGTGGGGTTCTGGGCGTCTTACATGCAACGTATGTGCTTGTCCACGCTGGCCTGACTCCACGCTGCTCCGTGCCAACCTAGAGCTTCCTTAGCACCCTGTGTCCTGGCCTGGACTGACTGAACAGCGTCCTGCAGGAGGACATTGTTCCAGAGTGGTCTTGACGACCCTCCAAAGGAGCCCTTGGGGAGTGAACTTGAACTTCCAAAACCTAACACCAGGCCTGATGTGTCCACCCTTTGCCATTTTCTTCAAGGTGCTCTGAAGACACCGATCCCAATGTCAATGACCAAGGTGAGAAGACGCTCGCAGGTCCTGGGCAGAGACGGGGACCCAAGTCACCCAGGTATGTGTGTCCGGTCCCAGATCAAGTGCCCGATGGGAAACACCCACGTGCTCCTCACTCCCCGCAAAGCCTCTGCACAGCCCCGGAAGGTGGTCTGCAGGGCCCCTCTGTCACAAGAGGCGGGGAGCTGGGGCTGTGCCAGGGCTCGGCAGAACCTCTGGAACCAGCCGGTGTGTGGCAGCAGGGAGAAGCGGCTTGTCTTCTGACAAAGGAGGGGAATAGGAGGATTTTTTAAAAATTATTAGCAGTTTCAAACCACAGGTCAGGACTCATTAGATAGAAAATCCTTTCAGCTGGGAGACCCTGGCTCCTTTGGGTAGTGGAATGATGGTGGCATTGTAAAGCTGGCCTGTTAATATTGAGTCAAGCTCCTCCCTCCCCCGTCGCCTGCTTCCCAGTGGGGGCTGAGGAGTACATTCTGAGGCCGCCTTGGTGGCCCACCCCCTCAAGGCACAGGCCATGTTTGACATTCCAGCACAATCAAAGGACATGGACAGGCATGGAGATTTTTTTTTTTTTAAACATTTACAGTGCGCAATGGTGCGCACCTGTCATCCCAGTGGCTCTGGAGGCTGGGGCAGGAGGATCGCAAGTTCAAAGCCAACCTCAGCAATTTAGAGAAGCCTTAAGCAACTTAGAGAGACTCTGTCTCTAGATAAAATATTTTTAAAAGGGTAGGGATGTGGCTCAGTGATTAAATGCCCCTTTTGGGTGCTGGGTTCAATCCCAGTACCAAAAAAAAAAAAAAAACTTTTACAGGAAAAGGTTTTTATGTTGTGGTAAAATACAGATAACAAAAACTGTGTTGCCATATCACCCCCAGAGCCTCATGCAAGCTGCACATACAATGCTCACCACTGAGCGCCAGCCTGTTTCCCATTTCCCTCATTCTTTTTTTTTTTTTTTTAAGGTACTGGGATTGAACTCGGGGGCCCTCAACCACTGAGCCACACCCCCAGATCTCTTTTGTACTTTGTTTAGAGACAGGGTCTCAGTGAGTTGCTTAGTGCCTCATTGTTGCTGAGGCTGGCTTTGAACTCGGGATCCTCCTGCCTCAGCCTCCCAAGCCACTGGGATGACAGGTGAGCGCTGCTTCCCCCATTCTTCAGTGTACAGTTCCCAGTGTTCAATGCATCCACAGGTTGTGCAGTCACCCCCTCATCCATCGCCAGAGCTCTGTTCCTCTCCTCAAGCTGAAGCTCTGGACAGGTTCTACACCAACTGCCATCCCTCTCCTCCCAGCCCCTGGCCACCACCATTCTACCTTCTGTCTCTATGATTTTGACTCCTCAAGAGGCCTCATAGAAGGGGGTCTTGCCTTTTTGTGAGTTGCTTGTTTCACTTAGCAAAATGTCCAAGAGTCTCCCAGGTTGCGGCATGTCTCTGAATTCCCTTCCTCTTCAAGGCTGAATAATATTCCCATGTGCGGTTAGCTGTTCATATATCAGTGGCCCATGGGCAGCCTCTCCCTGTGCCTATTATGAGTTATGCTGCTAGGAACATAACATGGGTGGGTGTGAACCTCTTCAAGTCCCTGCTTTCAGTTGTCTTGGGTACATACCCAGAAGTGGGATTGCTGGATATGATGGTAATTCTATCTTTAATTTTTTGAGGAACATCCATACTGTTTTCCATGGCAGAGTTGAGGTTTTGAAGAACTGCATCGTGAGGGGACTTAGATGTAAAAACACCATCTATGTGCTTCAACTGTATGATGGGATCATCAAAACCATATTCTTGCGGTGTACTCCTGTCATCCCAGTGACTCAGGAGGCTAAGCAGGAGAATCACAAGTTCAAAGCCAGCCTCAGCAACTTAACGAGGCCCCGATCGACTCAGCGAGACCCTGTGTCTAAATCAGATACAAAAAAGGGCTGGGGCTGGGGCTCAGTGGTTGAGTGCCCTTGGGTTCAATCCCTGGCACCGAAAAAGAAAAAAAAAAAAAAACATATTCCTGCTAAAAATACAACCAACAGCAGCAACAGCTGGCACTTACGCCTGTAGGTGTGGGGCTCTGTGCCAAGACCCTCCTGTGCCCCTCCTTGTCTAACCCTCTCGGTGCTGTGTCGGGTGGCTCTCCCACATGCTGGAGGCTGGGAAGGCCCGTGACACGCGGACCCGGCAGGGGACTCAGTGTGGCTCTGCCGGCCACGCCATCCAGGCCCCTCCTCCCCCCCCCCTCTCTGGAAGTTCATCTAGTGTTTGATTCTTTCGTTTTCTGTTTCAAATTCTGTTTTATTTCTGTAAAGTGAACAAGAACCTGGAAGGGGGACACGGTGGGCCACCTCTGGGTCAGGCGGCTCTGTCAGTGGCCCCCAGACATCCCAGTCACCATGACCTCCTGCTCTCGCATCCTCCGGGTCTAGTAAGGAGATCGCTAAGGACCCCACGGGCATCTTAAGATCACGTGATGGCCTGGTCCCAGGAGAGGCCCCGCACAGAGCAGGATAACAGAGTCCAAAGACAGGACCCGGCCAGGCTGCCGCACTCCCCGGAAGCCCTCTGCCCTTGCTCCCTGGCAGATTTGACCACCTGGTGGCCACAGAGCGCGGGGAGGGCTGCCGATGGCAGGCGGGGAGGATGAAGATCAAGCACGTGGTCGATGCCACTGACCACCTTTTCCTCGCAGCACAGAGGATTCCTGGAGTCTCTCCAGCTGGTGAGTGGGCGGCGCTGAGGACTCCACCGAACCTCCTCTGGTCGGCCGGGAAGACAGTCTGGAAAGGGTTACGCGGGTGCAGTGGCTCTCCACTCCAAAGACGCCTGTGTAGACACTAACGATCCCGCTGTTCAGGACATTCCTCCTCAGGGAAGGGGAGCCACACTTAACAGGGCTTATTCCATTTGCCTGACTCTACAGTAAGGAAGACAGTAATAAAATAATAGTAATAGTAACCAAAGACGCTGGCATATTAGTTGGGTCCTATAGGATGGAATGTATCGTGTGTCATTCATGAAACATCGATTTTTAGTGTATCAGGTCGATGAAGAGAGTCTGACCGCCCCTGACAATGTAACTCTGGTAATTAGTGTTTGCACAGAACTTGATTTTTTTCCAAGAGGATCTGCAGCCACTGTATAATTCAGACCTCTTAAGATCCCCGCAGGGGACGCATCGAGGTGCCTCATCAATTACTTTGGCTGGTAGAATTAGGAACAGGGGCCAGACTCTGGGTCCCTGAACTGGTTTGGAATCATGCTGCATTTATGAATTTCTGAAATTCCTGGGGGTTTTATTCTAACCCCCAGGAGACCAGCTCCTCTCCCCGCGGGGGTCCCGATGGGGCGGGGGCAGGCAGGCGCTTTAGGCCCTTGTCTGTCACTCTGTGTCTGGGTTCTCTCCATCCAAGCACTTGAGAGTGTCCCCGCCTCATTAGTCCCCTTTGACTTTTGAGGTTTTGAGGAGACAATGAAAGCCTTGTGGGCTCTTAGAGAGTTTCTGCAAACCTTCCGCCTTTCCCAGAAGAGGCCGGGTGTGGCCCTGCCGTGGGGCTGGCCTGGCTGGCCTCAAGTTTCCTGTCACTCTGGGCAGTTCTGGCGGGGGAGGGTGAAGAAGAAAAATGTCTCCCATTTCCAAGGGGCAATCAGCAACCCGGCTCTGGAGGAGCGGCTGGCATCCCTTCCCTTCCCACAGAAGGCACCCCAACCTGGACGAGGACACCCCCAGGTCCCTGGCGCTTCCTGGCTTGGTCTACCCCTCAGGAAACCCATGGTGCCGTGATCTCCACCAGGCAGCAGGCGGCCATGGTCTAGAACATTGTTCTGAGAAACTTTTTCAGGATGTGACTGGTCATTCACAATGGTCTAGTTCTTCTGGCCGCATCTGGGAGTCGGGCTCGTGTCTCCACCATCCCCCAAAGAATTCCACACAGCCCAAGCCCTTTTAGAAGTGGGCTCAGCGCAGCGTTAGCCCACTCTGCAGCGGGAGGAGGAATCGGGTCTGGCTCTGAGGCCCCGGACGCACACCAAGCATGAAAGGTTATCAAGACAGCTGTCACCACGTGGCCCAGGCTGGTCCCAATCTCCTGCACTCCTCCTGCCTCAGCCCCGAGGACCTGGCACTGGGACTGTGGCACATGTCACGAGGCCCGGCTTAGCTGACCTAGTCCACAGCTGGCCTCCAGAAACACCTGGACACGGGATCAGTGTCCTGTGTCAGAACACCCCTCAAAGGGTACAGGCTGCGGGGCTTGCTGGATTTCCAAAACTTTCTGGTTTCTTCAAGGATGGAGGTATCCGCTAATTCTTTTTAGCAGGTCTTCCTGTCTTGACCACCATAAAACTTGTTATGCAAGTTAACATACTAATTAAGAAATGGGGCTGGGGATGTGGCTCAAGCGGTAGTGCGCTCGCCTGGCATGTGTGCGGCCCGGGTTCGATCCTCAGCACCACATACAAACAAAGATGTTGTGTCCGCCGAAAAATAAAAATGTTAAAAAAAAATTCTCTCTAAAAACAAAACAAAACACTTCTTAAAAAAAAAAATAAATAAATAGCATTTAGAGGGTGGAAACTTACTCCAACTATAATGTTTAGAGGTGGGCCTTCAAGAAGTGTTAGACTGGGCCATTAGGGATGAGCCCCTATGATTGAATCCTGGTGGCTTTTTAGGGAGACACACACACACACTCTTGTCATGAAGTGATGGGGGCAAGGGTACTCACTAGAGCCTGAACCATCCTGTTGGGACTTCCAGCCTCTATGACCAACAGCCAAAAACTTTTTTCTTTATAAAGTAGTCTGCCTTGGGTATCTCATCATAGTAAAGAAAATGGCTAATACACTCACTGAAAGACTAAGATAGAATCACAAGGCTACAGAACACTTTCACTCCTACCACATCTTACGTCCACATTACCAAAGGCCCATTTACTGCAGTTCTTTTTTATTGATTGATTTATTTATTTGGTACTGAGGATTGAACCCAGGGGTGCTTAACCCACTGAGCCACATCCTGAGTCCTTTTAATTTTTTTATTTTGGGGACAGGGTCTTGCTAAGTTCTTAGGGCCTCACTAAGTTGCTAAGGCTGGCTTGAAACTAGCGATCCTCCTGACTCAGTGTCTCAACTCACTGGGATAACAGGTGTATGCCCCCCACCCAGCCCACTACAGTTCTTTTTACCAAGTACAGGATGTACACCTTTCAACAAACAATTACAAGGCACATAAAGACACAGTTTAAAGAGTTTGAACAAGCATCAGAACCAAAGTTGAGCATGTTGGAACTAGCAGATGAGGAGTTTTGTTTGGTTGTGTTGTTGTTTTTTGTAAATGTGGTTAATAGGCTAAAGGATTTAATGGAAAAAGTAGGTAACATGCAAAAACAGACGGATAGAAAAGGCGACGGGAAGCACTGGGGAAAGATGCTGCTAAATGATATGGTTATGTTTTGTGAATACACATGTATGTAACCAAAAATCCCCCCATTATGTACAACTATAGTGCACCAATTACAAATGTGGAGGAAAAAAACAGATGGAAAATGTAGGCAGATGGAAATTCTAAGAAAGAGTTTTAGAATGACAGAAATGGAAACACTGTGACAGAAATGAGGAATGCCTTTGACGGGCTCATCAGTAGACTGGACACGGATGAGGAAAGACTCTCTGAGCTTGAAAACATGGCAATGTAAACTTCCAGAATTGAAAACCAAAGACTGAAAAAGGTAAACGCAACAGGATATATAGGAACTATGGTTCAGCTACAAAAGGTGTAAGTTATGCTAATTGGGAGGCCAGAGGGAAAAGAAAGAAAGAAACAAAAGCAATATTTGAAGCAATAATGCCAAATCGTTCAGACCTAGAAGCTCAGAAAGCACTGATCAGGATAAATGCCCCAAGCCCTGCCCCTAGGCATTGCGTTCATACTTGAGAAAATCAAGGATAAAGGGAGGACTTGACAGGGGCTGACCATGGCCGGGGTCGGGGTCCTGGCAGGTGGTGCACCTGGGAGGCAGGGAGACCCCACACGGCCCCCCTGCGCCCCTTGCCCTGTGCATCTCTTCATCTGTAACATCCTTTACGAGGAAGGCAATGTGTGTCCCTGGGTGCTGCACACCCATCGACACACCATGGAGCCCATGAGGGGTGTGGGAACCCAGATCCACAGCTGTCAGTCAGACAGCCTGGGGCCTGGAAAGGCATCTGAAGCGGAGGGGCGGGCTCATGGGTCTGTGGGGTCTGGTGCTGTTTCCAGGTGGGAAGTGTCAGAGCCGACCTGAATATGGGCACACCCAGCTAGCGTCCGCCACTTACCCACATCTTTGGAGATCACTGGAGTCTCCTCTGCTGCTTGTTGTGGTGTGAACAAGAGGGGGGACGGCTTTTTTTTATGTTAGATGTTTCTTAACACAATTAAAATTTTTTTAATGATATTTTGTGGAGGGTACCAGGCCACTGAGCCACATCCCCAGCCCCATTGTGTATTGTATTTAGAGACAGGGTCTCACTGAGTTGCTTAGGGCCTCACTTTTGCTGAAGCCGGCTTTGAACTCTCAATCCTCATACTTCCCCATCCCGCAGCACTGTGATTGCAGGTGTGCGCCACTGCACCTGGCTTAAATGATTTTTTTAAAAAAGGGAAAAGAATACAGATTCTAGAGTAGCAGCCTGAGTCACATCCCAAGTCCACAACTTAATAGCTGTGTGACCGTCGGTAAGTCACTTAGCCCCTCTGTGCCTGTTTCCCAGGTATTCAACTGTGAATAATAATAATGCTTTGACCTCACAGGTGTGTTGTGAGGACTCCAGGAGCTGATACACGTAAGGCCTTCACCACAGTGCCACGGGTTGTAAATATCAATCAGTGCAAGGCACTCTCTCCCCTGGGGACAAGAACTGCCTAATTTGCACTAATGGAAGAAAACACAACAGGGACGACTGTGAGGTGATTGTAAGGCACTTGTCAATTTCAGAGATATGAAGGTCACAAACACACATCCTAGAATCAGGGGACATGGTGGCATTACTACCACGTGGTCCTTGCCCACCAGGTCTGCCTTGTGTTCCCGCCACAAGCGTTGCACTCACTGGGGTACCAACCACGAGTCTGTGACCTGAAATACCCTCAGTCCAAATTCTGCCCAGCCTGTGAGGCCCACGCTAAATGGTCACTTTCTGTGAGTCATTGCTGAATGAGTCGGAATGGGCAGCCCCCTCAGTGCTCCCATAATCCTTTGCGGCCTCTTGTTGCCAGGTGCCCTCCGTCTGCGTGTGCCCCACGTCTCTCTCTGGGTCGGCTAAGATACAGCCCCAGACCTTTTCATCTCTTATTTTGAGACAGGGTCTCACTAAGTTGCCCAGGTTGGCTTAGAACTTGCAATCCTCCTGCCTCGGCCCCCCGAGTCACTGGCACCCAGACGTGCTCTTTCTTTTTGGATGTTCCAGCACCTAGAGCTTAGCAGGCCCCTCTTGTGTCCTTCTTCAACAGAATGGAGAACTCAGGCTGGTTTCGGACACACCCAGCAGGATGGTCCCCACACTGGGGAATTTCAGTGCTGGCTGATGGAGGGATGCGGGGAGCCCCCCGTCACCCCTGGCTGAGCTTGCTCCCCACCCTTGAGCGGTGGGGGTCTTGGTCTGGCACATCCGCGACAGCTGTGCAGGGCAAGTGCCCTTTCCCTCGCTCGGCAACGGGGCCTGCTTCAAGCCCTACCTGGG